TTTCTTTAGAGTCCCCATTGCTATAGAAAAAAAAAAAATGGTTTCGAATGAATTTACATTTATTGAATAGTACCAATAAAAAAAAATGAAAAGAGTCGTAAAAGTGAAAAAAAAAAAAAAAATTCAATTGGATTTTTTTTTTTTTTGCATTGGTAGGTCACGGCCCTTGTCCTCTCCTACCTGAACCGGTAAGGTTGGGTATTGTATTATTGTATATACACTCCCTAGATTTTCTTTTTTGAATTCTTTGTTTTCGTAGTCGGACGTTACCCCCATTTAGGCTATACTCACATATATAAATTTTCTAGTAAACTCTTTGTGTCACACACACACACAATTCTTCTCTTTTCTGATTATTATTATTATTATTGTTATGAATTTTTATAATAAAATGGGGAAACCAAGTTAAACCTAATGGTGCTACGAACACCTTTTTTTTCATAATAAAACTTTTTTTTATTATATCTTTATTATATATAAAATCGTCTGTGTTTGTCTGGTCAAGTATAAAAATGTCTGGTTTATACAAAAAAATAATTTTTTAGTTATTATATAATAGAGAGGGAGGGAGAGAGGGAGGGAGGTTGGAAGAAAATTATAAGTTTTTCAATATTAAAAAAAATAATTTGGAAAAAACTTATTATTATTATTATTTCGAAAGGTTTAAAAAAAAACTTTTTTTTTCTTTTTAAATGAGGTTAATTTAAGGTTTTTTCAAAACGTATAATGACAACTTTCGAATTCAATAACATAAAACACATTTTTTTTTCCTTCATTATTATTATTATCATTAAATCTTTTATTATTTTCAGGCACAAAAGGAAAATAAAAAAAAAAGTAACGGTAATCGAACGTACCTGCAAAAAAATTTTTTTTTATTTTCCTCGTGCTAAACGCAAATTGATATAACGGATTATTTTTTCGTTAATACAATAACGATAGAATTTTTTTTTTTTAAATTTTGTTCTGTCAAATCCTTCGGGTAACAAACAGACAAGATGTCTGTCACATTTTTTTTTCTGTTGTCAATTAAAAAAATGTCAAAAAAAAAAAATGTCGGGGGGGTGGTTCATCCATCGATCCATGATTTTGTTTATTTAAGAATTTATTTTTTTGTAGATTCTGCGAAAAAGTTTATTGTGGTGCCTAAAAATCTCTCTCATTCATTTTTATCTTCTGCTATTCAATGTCTTCTGCTATTTAATGTCTTCTGCTATTTGTTTTTTTTTTTTTTTATTCATCACGAAAAACGTTTTTCTTAACTCGCATCATCTCTTTCTCTCTCTCTCTTTACTTTCAATTTTTTTTCATTTTGTAATCCTTTTTTTAAATATTATTTCCATTCGATCGAAATGAGGAAACAAACAAACGAACAAACAACAAACAAAACAAATTCATTTTTTTTTTTTTTTTATTTAAACTTATTCTTATTGAACGTTTGTTGACACCAACATTAAATCACGTGGGGCGTTGCACTACTCTAAATTTATGTACCACCTACACAAAAATTAGTTTTTTAATCTGACAAAGACAAGTATAAGTCAGGATTAGAAAGGTACACACACACACTCGCACACACACGCACGCGCACGCGCACACACTCGTACACAAGAAAATAAACAACCTTTGGAGATCATCCGATACGCCTACTACTCGACATACAATTATTTTAAAAAATGAATTTGAATAATAATTTTTTTAAAATTCATTTTTAGTTTTGTTATTCTTTTCTTTTCATCTCTCCCTCCCCCTCTCTCTCTCTTTCTCTACATTCATTTGTCAGACATTATTGAAGAGAATAATAAAAGTTATAATAAATTATTATTATTATGTATTTATTTTTTTTAATAACGAACGAACGAACACAAAAACATCTGTTTTAAATCCTTTGAATTATTTCATTGGAAAATTTTCAAAGGAAATAAAAAAAAAAAAAACTTAAAATTTTTAATTAAATTTAATTTTAATAAATTGCTAATTGAGACGTAAAAATCTACTGCCACGTTTTCGTGACGTAATATGGCGGCCGGTTACTATTAAATTTTTTCTTATTTTTTTTGTCTAAACTTAGCCAAACCGACATAACCATTATTATTATCATCATCATCGCTAAGTATTATTGAAACTTAACAGATATTTAATAATAATAATAATAATAATAATAATAATAATAATAATAATAATAATAATAATAAACAGTTTAAAAAAACAGAAGCAAAACACATTAAATGCGTTTTAAATTATAATTTTTTTTTTTTTTATTAACTTTTGAATTATTTAAAAAAATTATTATTAAATGATTAC